AAACTCTAAAATCGAAATAGAGGAGGGTTGTTTAGAAATTTCCGACAAGTAGTCAATACGATAATCAAATACTATGTATGAGTAGTCAGATGGTTCATCTCTGAAATTAATTGTTAGGTTCTCATGCATCAAAATCAACGGAGTTCTGTCTTTCTCCCCCTCTCTCTCTTTCTCGCTCTCGCTCTCTCTCTCTCTCTCTCTCTCTATATATATATATATATATATATATATATATATATATATATGAAGAAATATAGTCTTAAGGTGCTATATTTATGGGATAAAGTGCCCAATATCAGAGATAGAGCAAGTGTAATAGGGAACGATCGCGTCTAGCATGAAACAGCCCGTCGCCTCTAAGTGCTGACTTCAGTTCACTTATATATATATATATATATATATATATATATACACTGATGAGGAACACACCTTAAACTGACTTTGTGTCACATCTTGTTGCGTCGTGGGCGCACTGGCAAATATCTATATAGGCATCTCTCGCCGTTTACAACTTTCACGCGAACATATCATTTCCTTATTGCGCTGAAGGCTTTTTCAGAAACAACCACACTTTTTGAAAGAGACAAATATATATATATATATATATATTCAAACATATATTTGCTAAATATAACAGACAACAATTATGTTTGATCATTAGCCGTTCTAAACTTCATATGGTTGCTTTGATTTTGGGTGAAAATAAAGACAAAAATTATCCAACATTTGGATATTTTTATTAAGCTGTTCCATTCGGCTCACATGAGCCATCTTCAGAGTGTTTATATAGATATTTAAACAAAGATATTCAATATCAATGATGATAGTGTGTCATGTTGACATAAGTCGCGGAATAGCAGACGCTGGTCGGAAATTCATGATGCAGTTCCATGACGCCGTACCACGTGAGAGACCGAAATATTAACAGAACCATATGTCTATATGCAATGTAATGTGTTGTGACTTGTTTGAAATGTAATTTTGTTAAATGTGTGTTGCTTTGTTTTAATATAGATGGCTTCCAATATCTGAAGTTTCTTTTTACTGTGTGTATGTGTGAGTATTGATGTGTTATCAAATAATATCTGCCTAATATTATGTACATGGTTATGTTTTTTCTAAGAAATGTTGTTTAATAGAACTAAGATCAGGAAGGTGACAGATAAATCTACGGGAGAGAGTGGTTGTAGCAAAACACACACACACACACACACACACACACACACACACACACACACACACACACACATATATATATATATATATATATATATATATATAATGTAAGAGAATTTCTGCTAATGTTTTTGGTGAGTTTCATTTGGTGTATAATAATAATGATGCCAAATGGGAAATTGTAAAGAACTTACCCAAATTCTATGTAAGAGTTTGAGTGTTCGGACTATCAATCGGTGTTGCTTTGGAAAAAAAGAAGATAAGTCAAAGAATAGTCAGTATAGTGTTTGTTCGTTTCATGGTCAAAATGTTGAAGTGGCCGTTAACATAAATGCTGCACTTGCTATCTCTCAACTGTTTTGTCCTGATAGGCTTGGAACATTATACACAATTTCTGCAAGATACTTTACAAGTTCCCATTTGAAATTAAACGATTTATTTGACAAGATAAACTCGCCAGTAGATTTCCTCTAAGTTCTATTCAATAAATCATTTGCAAACGAAAGACTGCTGCCTAATATACTTATAAATACAGAGTGAGACAAAATTCTTGCACCATAGGAATAATTTATTAAAAGTATATTTTCACATGAAAATTCTATTTGCTAGTTATTTAGTGTGCTGTTCAAAATATACCTGCATGATTTATTATCACGTCGGAGAGTTTCTTCTGTCATTTTACGTCATTCATATTTAATTGTTTCACTCCCACAATATTTAGTGGTCGCGTCTGATAAACAACTGATTTCAAATGGCACCTCCACACACACACACACATACACACATACACACACACACAAAAAAAAGCAAAAAAAAAAGCAAACATGATTAATTAATTAACCATTATGGTGTGCGACTATTGCCTCACCCTGTGTATATAAATTTGGTTAAAGGTCAATGAAAATTCTTTAAAGATTATTTTTTATATTTCGAAAAATTTCGGATTACGGTGCATTTTTAAATAAAAACTTTCCTATTTGTGGGTAATTTTGGCTTTCATAAGCCATTGTAAGAGTTTTTTGTACTATGTCACTTACATAAATGTCAAATATCGCTTCTTTACGTGTTGAATGTTCATAAGGTTTATATATATATATATATATATATATATATATATATATATATATATATATATATATATATATATATATATATATATATATATATATATATATATATATATATATATATATAATTGATGAACTATATTAAGTACTAGTAGTAGAGCCCGGCGTTGCCCCGGGATGTAACAGTAAAAGATAGATCAAGTATCGACCATCATAAAGACTGAAAAATAAAATTGACAAAGATTATTGTTTAAGGTTGACGGACACGCATGTCTTAATTAGTTTTTTTTTTTTTTTTTACGAATTGGTCAAACCCAAATTCAAACAAAATCATTGTTTTCAATCGTTATGAGTCTATCGATTGAATAGAATTTTATTATAAACAATTGTCTTGTAAATGGAATTTTTAAAGCATTCTGAATGCAAAAATAAAGAAAAGAGCGTGCAAGACAATAAGAAACACTACCTGTTAAAAAAAAGTGAAGTTTTGCTGAAATCGGTTGAAAAATGTAGGAAATCCGATCCCAAATATAAAGGAACACCCACACACAAACAACCTGGGTTTTATAATAAGTATAACTCGATATGAGTTGTCCCCCTTTCATTCTGGCGACAGAATCGTGTTTTTCAATTGATTTCGTGCAAAAAACAATTGTGTTTTTCCAATTTTTGGCGCTGTCAGAACCACCGCAAGGTAATTTTACGCAGTCCTGTGAAGTTTTGTTGAAATCGGTTGAAAAATGTAGGAAATCCGATCCAATATATAAACGTACAGACACACACACACGCACACACAAAATCTGTGTTTTATAATAAGTAAGATTTTATAACTAAATTTTATAATATTTTAAGGATTCTAGATTATTTGCTTTTTATCTTAACGCTTCCAGTATTTACAGTGTTTGTTCACATTTTATGTAATATATATATATATATATATATATATATATATATATGTGTGTGTGTGTGTGTGTGTGTGTGTGTGTGTGTGTGTGTGTGTGTGTGTGTGTGTGTGTGTGTGTCTGTGTGAACAAGTTCTTAGTTCTTGAATCCACTTTTAATGTCTGGCCAAATAACCAACCATGAGAATTTGGGTGGCGTACAATTACTAATTTATCGGATCGAGAATGTTTCAGCACTGCCTCCCATGCACGTGTATATATTAAGAAAAAGACAAATGTCATGGTGTAATATACCTGAATATATTTGGTATTTTCCAAAATCTACCTGAGATCGGTTACCTTAGCATTTGTCCTATTAGGTTGAGTCATTCACAGTTCTTTTTTATTGATCAACTTTATTTTTCAAAAATAATGTAATTATATTTTATTCAATTATGTATTCATCATTATTTACATATTATTTATTGCCAGGAAGCTGTTCGATATCTATTCATTGAATGATTCATTTTCCACAGTTTGTCAACCATTTGCAGTTTATTTAAAACTATAAAATATTTTTAGATTGTAAGAATTTTTTTAGATAATAACGGTTTAGTGATACAAGTCTTAGTAATTAACTAATAGCTGGAGGAGGAGAGGTTGATATCTGCCTTTCCCAATGGTAGTTGCGCGTGAGCGAATATAATGAACCCAACTGGAACTCGGCTCTCCAATTAACAATTACGAACACCACCTGCACATCCAAACTTATTGATCACCTGGTATTCCCAAGTGGTCACCCATCTAGGCACTGACCAGGCTCGTCGATTCCTAACTTCAGTGATCGTACAACCACCGGTGTTTCAACGTGATGTGACCTTGTTGGTACATTTTCCGTAAATCTCAGAAGGTTTTGATGAAAAAGTTTTCGACGAAATCTTAAAACTGGTTATCATTAGGGAAAGTTTAATCTACTGTGTACGCTGCCGGCAAAAAACTAAGATGTATTAGTATTCTCTAAATTTATTTTTTAACTGCCTACCAAATTCGTCATGAATATTGGTTCCCAAAAACGGAAATTACTTATGACAGAAATACAATCTGCACAATATTCACAAAATTTAAAAAGATATATAAACTCTTCATTTCAATCTTTGTATATATCTTCTCTCTACTTCAAGAAATGAATAACAAGAATCAATCCTTAACCTCAGAGTTATTGACTAAACTTGAGTTATCAAAACAAGAACAGGTTTACTTCTTGCGAGAAAAATATTACTCGCATTCCTATTGGTCAAGTTCAGTTTTAATTCTGTGCTATATTTAACAATTTCCATCTAGTCAACTAAGTACACTGGAAGTAGCTATGCCTCAAGATAATTTCCATAGTCTTTAAGACGTGCGTGGATGGCAAATTAGGCACCGATCGAAGGTTTAAATTCAGATGATTACAAACGAAACGTTGATGCAAATGAACAGAAGTGAGCAGTAATTACAAGGTGACAATATGTCTAGCAATATCCAATTAAAGGTTTTTCGGGTGTTAAGTTATATCTGTGGATTCCTGGCACCAGTCAAGCGAGAATTCATTACAACACTTTTAATTTAAAGACGTACAGGTAATCAGATATTATATCCAGGTGTTCTTCAGGTGAAGTTTCAGCATGGGTTTGACATGTCGAGGTTTGAGCATTTAAAAATAGACTGGTACTAAAGTCTCAATAAAAAAAATCAATTGCAATATTATCACAACCCCCCCTCCACACACTTTCATCAACCGGATAAAAGCAGGTTATGAATATTGTAACATTTAAACTTTTCTGTAACTCTTATCTGTTTTAAAATGACTGTCAAAATTCATTTATTTTTTTAAATACATTCTGATCACCGAAGTTAAGCAACGTCGAGCCTGGTCTATACCTAGATGGGTAACATCTTGGGAATACCAGGTGCTGTAAGCCTGGATGTGCAGGTGTTGTAATGTCTAATCGTTCGAATGGTTAATCGGAAAGCCGAGTTCCAATTCCGGTTGAGTTCGTTATATTCATTTACAGGCAAATACTCTTGGGAAAGATATGAATTCACCTCTTCTCTCCCAGCTATGGGTTAATTAGTAAGACTTGTGTCACGAAACCATTATTATTTTCTAAAATAAAATAAAATTGTATACAAAATACTTAGATTTTGGCATTAAATAATCTGCAAATGGTTGGTATGCAGCTAAACAAAAGCAACAAACAGAATAAAATATATTTTACAAGCATTAACTGACTCGCTAATTAACTTCGTAAGTGGCGTAGTAAATAAAATTGGGATTATTAGTTATGCTTAGTAAATTGATGGCCGCAGAGTGCTCCATGGATGTGATCTTGTACCAAAGTAATATTAGTACTATTAATGTCAATAAAAAACAGATTTTATGAAGCCATAAGTGGCTGTCGTACAAGAGAAAGCTGTCTCAAGTAATAACTTGTTTTCCATAGGGGCTATAAAAATATCTGAACAAAATGTTACCTCCAAATAATCAATAGAGCAATATTTTCCAAACATGGAACTGCTTTTGGAAGAAAATATGGAAAAACATTCAACGTTTTATAAGCGGCAGAAATTCATAATTAAAAAAAAACAAGAAAAAGCAAAGTCACACTAGTCCAATGTCAGAAAAAAAAAACAGATGATTCCGAAATCTCAATCCAAAATTCCATTAACTATTACCAGATAACAAGGCACATGTTTTTCTAAACAAAAACACACTCAAACATGTGGGTGATGAACAAATAAAAGAAACAGACTGAATCGCCATTGCGTGAAAAAATATTTTATGTTACAATTGGGTCCTTTGTAATTCATATATATATATATATATATATATTTATAAGATATATCTTATGTAGTCAGCAAAATATTTAAATATCAGTAGTTGGTGTTATTTATAATCAGACCTTATTAATAGTGATTGTCTTTTTGAAATAGTTGCAGCATCAATTATTTCTCAGCTCTCGAGGCGAAAACAGATGACTGATAAACTTTATCGAACCTTATTTCTCTAGTGGTCCCTTGATTTAATCTGCCTCTCACTGTCTGTTTAGATATCCTTCTTAACAAGGTTCCCAGATTGCCTTAAATCATTGGTTCAACGCTAAGCTGATCGATCATATCTGTGTCAAATATTTTTATGTCACTTCAAATTATCGGCACATATATTCAGGCCTTGTATCTCTGTCTGGTCTCTGTGTCTCTCCTCTCTCTCTCTATCGTTACCTTCTAAATCAGGTGATCGCATGGTTTATTCATCGTTGATTAAGTCCATGTTTTATATATATATATATATATATATATATATATATATATATATATATATTACATAACAGGAATTTCAAGATTACATTAGGTTAATGATTATTTTCACCTTGTAAATTGAAATAAAATTTACAAGTATTTTCAAACCAGTCAATGGATAATAAATATTATTTTTCTTAAATTTAGCCAATGGATGATAAAATATTGCTTTTTCAATAATTTATCATCCATTAATCAGAGAAAATCCTTGTAAATTTTATTTCAATTCATGTGAAAATGATCATTAACCTAATGTAATCTTAATTCCTATTGTAATATGTTATTTTATTTGATTAATATTAAATGTCCATGCTGCAGTCTGCACCATTCAACATCAACTCTGATTGACACCCATATATATATATATATTTTTCAACTTCCAGCGTTTGTTTTATCGTTTCAACAAAGACGCACTGTTCTCTCTCTCAAACCTTTGAAAGTTCAACTCAAATTGCCAGCACACACACTAACTGTCCTTCTCAAATGATTTTTCTTCCAAGCCACGTCCCTGAGCCCAAATCCCTGCACCGACGCTTTCAAATTTTGTTTCAGTTCACATCCTGACTTCCATGACGTATCACTGGTTTTTATCTCCATTCCAGCCTTTATGGAGCAGCTGAGTGTTATTTCAACATTCTGGTAGTTTACATTCATTGAACTATCGTCAAATCTGACAGTGTTTCAGCCTGCCCTGATTTTTCCTCTGAAAGTCATCAACAAAATGTCACTTCTACTCGTAGAACTACCACTGCCCTCCCGCTCCTCATATAGCCTAATAAACTTTGTTTTTCTGTTATTTTTTCCTGTAAGCCTGTTCACATCCATTTCACAAGCCCACTAACGTTATACATTACTTTCTCTGTCCTCTTGTCCTGTGAGCACAGATTTCAAAGATTCTTCATCACGTACCAGTTCACAACGTCTTCTTCCTTTATGTCAAGCATGCCAGTTTGCCTTTGTTTCTGGCTCATTTAAACCTCGTCGTTGTTCACATAGCCCACCCACGGCATCCTCAGTATTCTTCTGAGAACGAAATT